TGCCTAGAGGGAGCTGGTGATGCTGAAGGAAGAGTTTGAGCTCGTGTGCAACGTTGGATCTCGAAAGATCGATGCTTTCGTAGCCAAGGAGCTCCTTTTCCATCTGAGCTAGTTTTTTTTGTGAGGAATCGATCTCTCTGAGGATCAGAGAGACCTGCTCTGAGATGAGAGAGATATTCTTCTGGGTGTGGTGAAGGAGATGGTAGGTTTGTTGGTCTTTTGGCGAGGATGTGAAGGCGTAGAGAGCGAAGAGATTAGTCGTGATGACAGAGAAGAGCATGAGAAGATTGACGGCTGATGAACATAGCGTTGCTCTTTTGAATCTGGCTGTTCCATCACCAATCTTCAGAGAAACAGAGCCCATCTTGGTTCTGCTTCTTCTCCAAACGAGGGACTTCTCTGAGTGAGTGAGATTGTGTACCAACTTCACTGAACAAGTTGAGTGTAGTGGTGGAGAAATGACTAAACAATTGTTGAGTAAAAGAGTGGAGTGATTTGTGAATTTAAGACACCGTAACTTTGTCAAGGGTCAGGAGTCAGGACATTGTTGTCGGCTGCGATTGTAACGTGTAAAGGGAGTGAAAAGGGGAATGATATGTGGTTCAAGTTCAACCAAATCTCTGGATTTGTTCAACTTAATTTAGTTTTTCAGGAAAAAAGGGAGAAATTTAATTGAATTGTACAAGGAGAAGTAGTTTGAGATCAGATTTAACCATAAAACCTAATGTCTTTCCTAATTATTATAGCATGGCATTCTTAGAGACACTTTCTTTTGTTTTTGGAGAGATTGGAGGGTGGCGGTTAGCGAGTTAAACCATAATAAAAGTCTACATTTGATCCTTGGTAAAGGATGCGGATATCACAAGGCCAATATCATTACCCATCACTCCAAAAAAGTCGAAGATCAACTTGAGTCTCACGACTCTGACAAAAGTTTGAAAAGCTAACGACCATTGGGCTAAAATTGTTGGCAAAAGTTTCACCATAGTCCATACAGGATCTCCGCCCTCAATGTCAAAAAATTAGCTTAAGGAATTACAAGATATTCACATTACATTAAGACAGAAAAACCAATACAAGACCAAGACGAGTTCATGCTGATAGCACCAGATGACACACATCAAGCACGTCGCTTACTAAGACGCCAAGAGTTAGGTTCATGGTATCTATCATATAGCGGTTCAATACGTTCTTGACCCTTGCACTTGCTCATCTTGGTGGGATCTGCCACTTTGAAGAAGCTGGGTGCCAGTTCCACGAGCCATTTGGGGTCGACGACCGTCACCTTGCTCATGTACTCCTTTGTAGTCATAACCAGTTCATGGTAGATCACCCAATCTGGTTGTCTCTGGAAGAGGGCGCTGCTATAATGCTCTGAAAACAGTGTATGAGGTAACATCAACATGACAATTTGTAATGATCTATTCGCTGCTCAGGTACCAAATATATCTAGATTTTAAAATACAAACTAGGCCTGAACAACATTTCAGCATTTCTGTCAAGTACAGACAGCAAAAAACATGCCTAATTCACGACTACTGCAAAAATACAATGTACCAACACATGAGCAAACCTAGGACTATCTACATCTTTTAAAACCATTCATGCACATGTGAAACCAGAAAAAAAGATCCATGCAACAACGAATACACATCAAGATAAATTAGAAGAACATACTTGTCCATGATGCTGAGAAGCTGTTTTCTGACATCCTGTGCCCTCCTCAAGGATTGAGACTGAACAAAGTTCTCCAAACACCATGGCCCTGAAAAATTCTTAGCTTTCCAAGCCTCATAGACTGCAAGTAAAGTCAGATGATCTCCCTCTGGCTGGAAAAACTTGGCTCTCTTCTGATCTGCCTGGGCTTGTTTTTCCCTAGGCCTGTAAAAAATATTGCCTGTCTGAATCATCGCAATGATGGTCAAGATCTCATCACTGCATCCAAGGTCCACACTGGCCAATAGCATCTTAGATAAGGGTGGATCAAGAGGAAACTCAGCCATTTTCCTACCTAATTTGGTGAGCAGCCCCTCCTCATCCCGTGCTCCTAAACTGTACAATTGCTCCATGGCAGAAATGAGTGCTTGGGGTGAAGGAGGATCCATAAAATCAAAAGACAAGAGATCATTTATCCCCATAGCTTTCATCGTAAGTGTAGTAGTACAATTTGGCGAGCAGCCCCTCCTCATCCTGTGCTCCTAACCTGTAAAATTGCTCCATGGCAGAAATGAGTGCTTGGGGTGAAGGAGGATCCATAAAATCAAAAGATGAGATCATTTATCCCCATAGCTTTCATAGTAAGTGTAGTAGTACCAAGATTTATCCTCTGGATTTCTGGAATTGAAGTAGGGGACATCTCATAGCGGTATGCACTCTCAGTGTAGAGGCAGTAACATTTCCCAGGGCCTGTACGCCCAGCACGCCCAGCTCGTTGCTTCGCTGATGCTTGGGAAATTGGAGTTATGACCAGTGAATCTAGCCCCTGCTTAGGGTTATAAACATTTTGCTTTGCAAAACCAGGATCAATGACATAAAATATCCCATCAATGGTCAGTGAGGCCTCAGCAATATTAGTAGCCACACACAACTACTTTCCTCTTACCTGGTGGGGCAGGATCAAATATCCTTGACTGCATTTCACTAGGAAGGGCACTATACACTGGTAGGATAATCAACTCAGGGACATTTTTACCAAGACCTTTCATCCTCTCATAAAGAGACTGGCATGCAAAATCAATCTCTTCTTGTCCAGTCAAGAAAAGAAGGATGTCACCTTCAGATTCTGTTAAATGTATTTGTAGAACAGTTATTAGAGATGCATCAAGGTAGTCACTTTCGGGCTGTTTAGTGTAGAGTATCTCCACAGGAAAAGTTCTCCCAGGGATAGTGAAGATGTTACAGTTGAAAAAATAACCAGAGAACTTCTCCGCATCTAAAGTAGCAGATGTGAAAATCAAACGAAGGTCTGGTCTCAGCTTCACAAGCTTCTTCAGCAGTCCAAAAAGAACATCTATGTGGATTGTCCTCTCATGAGCTTCATCAAGCATGACCACAGAATATTGGAAAGGTTCTCGTCAATCAAAATCTCCCTAAGAAGCATACCATCAGTCATGTACTTGATGACAGTATCTGGACCAGTGCAATCCTCAAATCGAATTGCATAGCCGACTTCCTCTCCTAAATGACAACCAAACTCTTCAACAACCCTCTTGGCCACAGACATGGCAGCCACCCTACGTGGCTGTGACCAATCTTACCCATTGTCGTGTTACCCGCTTTTGCAAGATACTGCGTTACCTGTGTTGTCTTATCTGAAACAGTCTCACCAATGACGACGAGCACTTGGTTCTCATGCACCGCCGCAATCAATTCTTTATTCAGCTTGTAGATAGGCAAGCTCTGCCTCTGTTCCTGGATTGAGAGTTTTGACCTCTGCCCAAAACTGATGGTTTTCCCAAAAGTATCCTTCTTCCACTCAGGCATATCATATGCCGACAAACCAACACCTCTAAGTTCTTGTGCAAGATGCCTCTCACTAGCATTGGATCTTCTGAGGGACGATTGAGATCCTTTGGGATAGAATCCAACATGGTTCTTTGCTGCTGCTCACGTACTTCTCTACGCTCCTTAATGAGTGTGGACTGAAGTGCAGCTGCACGACCCAGTGACCCTTCTGGATTTTTAAAGATTTTCACAGGTGACATATCAACAGAATACCTGCTCTGTCCATTTAAAAAGGCTGGCTCATCCTCATTGAGCTGAATCTCAAGCTCTTCCTCAGCTCCCTCTTCTTGATAAAGCATCCCATCTGTTTACTCATCATACATAGGATACTCTTTAACACCCAAAACACCCGAGGCAATCAACTGTTTGGCTTCCCACTTCTCCGGCGAACTCATTCTCTTCAATGGCCGGTGTGATGGGCCAACATCATCCTCTTCCACAATCCTAATCCCAGAAATACCAGTCCTAGTCACAGGTCCATCCTTTGAAAAAGATGGGTTCGTCCTAAGAGCATCATCCTCTGAGCTATACTTCAAGGGGAGCAAATCCTTCCCTGTATATTGATCAACATCCCTCATCGAAAGGTTCAACTTCTGACCTGAAATTGAAATCACCTTCACATAAACTTCCCGATCCCTCTTCACCACATCCTTAGCATTACTAATTCGCCGAGTTGCCATCTGTGAAACATGAACCAGACTCTCATTCCCTCTTAAATCATTCAACTGAACAAAGCAACCGGTGTCCATCACTCTGGAAATCCTGCCCTTATAAACCTGATACAATTTGGGCTCATCCGAATGGTTCTGGCCATTCCGCCGATCCTTATTACCTCTCCTATCATCACCATCTTCCTTAACATCTCCATCGTCTTCATACCCATCTCTCTTATGCTTATTGTATCGATCTATGCCTTCCCCTGTCATCACCATCATCATTATAATGTGTATCTCTACGCCTCTCATCTTTAACATACCTTTCCCTTCGCCTCTCCTTCCCATCTCTATCTCTACCTCTTCTGTGTCTATCTCTATCTCTATCTCTATCTCCTTCCCTATATCTATCCCTACCTCTACGCCTGTCTTCTTCACGCTCTTTGTGTTGTTATTCTCTTCCGTTTCGCTTTTCCTTGGTCTCCAACTCAATTTCCTTCTCGATGTCCTTGACTCCCTCTTCTTGATAAAGCTCCCCACTCTGCATATGAGTTCGAGTCCCCCTCCCCGTAGTTTAGATTAGATTAAAGTAGAATATCATTTCCTATAAAAAAAAATATTGGCCAATGATTTAACAAAATCGAACATAAAATCTCGAGTGCTTATAACCTGTCCTTTTTGCTGTCGTAAAAGAAGTCGTGTTACAGTTGCATAATGTAGTGTAAACAAAAATTTACGTTTCGTGCTGTAGTTGCGAAGGTAAATGCTCTACCACCAAAATTATAAATCCCAAATTTTCTGTTTTGATACCCTTTGGAGCTGAAAGATGAGAAGAGATTATGGTACAAAAGTAATAAAACATAAAAAATTTGCTTTCAAGAATCAAGACTACACAAAAAATGCCAACGATTGAACTAAAAATAAAAGAGTGAAACAGGAGCAAAGACCACTCTTACACATAGCTTCTTCAAGGATACTACTTATGCAACTACAAAACAACAATCCGCAAAGGCTGGCACTCAGCCTATGGTTGAAGCTTCTAAAGGGTAGGAGTTGGTCAATGTAATATTACTAACTAATCATAAAATAAACGTTTCTTCTGGCAAAAATTTCTAATGATCTTGCCCTGCTAACGACTTCTGCCCGTCAATGTTTAGCCTTGGCTTCAGCTTTCTTATGTGACTTGGCCTTCATCTAATAATCAAAAGAACAAAGTAAATAAACATCTATACAATGCAAGAAAAATATGTATAATGTACCAAAGCAAGTGAAGGTTCTCTTTCTTAATTTTTTTCTCAAGGCAAAGCAAATGAAGGAGAGGAAAAGTTCAACGATTCTCCTTTCAAAAGTATCTGAAAATTCCAAAACACTGCTGCAAAACTAAAAATCCTAGATTTCAGAAAAATCTGCAACTTCGGAATTGAATTGGCACCTTGGAATCTACAAATTTTGGAGTTGAAATCAAAAGCACATTTGAAATCCTGAAAGTAGTTTCAAAGACCCCACTCAGGCCTCGGGACCTAATTACTATGAAACAGACTGATTTATGCAACAGAGGCATATTAGCAATCGTCAGTTCTCAACCACCACCTTATTTTACTTTGCAAAAGCAATTAAAGGGCCATAAGATCAAATGCAGTGCTGCCTATAAATCTACTCACATGAAAAGGCCTAAAAATCAAACAAGAACAACCAAACTGAAGCATATAAAATTAAATCTGCGAATGAGGGACTTGGTTTTAATCACATGGCATGTAATCAGTAAGAATAACCACACCACATATATATTATAATATATATCAGTAACAGAACCACAGAAACAACAGACAAGTTGAAATGACTAAGGGAACAAAGATTGCTTTCAACAAGAAAACATGGGTTTGGGACAAAATGCTCTGTATGCAAATCTGTACACAAAAGTTGAATCATTTTTAAATCCCATAGCATTGTATTGCTAAAAAGAATGAATAAGCAGACGCGCAAACAGGATCGCCAATCAGTTCGAACTATAATTATCATCCGTAATTTTTAGCAAATATAAGTACGAAATAAGAACAAGTCAAATCGAAGGAGATCAGGAAGCACCTTGAGAACCCTGAGCTTCACGCTTCCATAAACCAGACCGAAAGTGAAGGCCGATGCACGAGCAACCTATCAAACATTCAAAATTTAAAGAAAGAAACTTTACGATCACATTCCACCGCAGAAGAGATGAGCGGGAAAGGAAAGGAGTGTACCAAGGCGAGGGTGCTGGTGCCAGAGTAAGGGCCTGGAGGTGGTGCCATTGGATTCGGTGATGAAAATCTCAGCTTAACTCGTCGAGTGCTTGCAGCAAAACCCTAATCAGATTGCAACCCCTGAGCTTGAGCGGTGTTCAGTCTGCTCTCCACTCCACTAGTTTCTTCTATGTATAATGTATCTGTATCTTGGACCCGAATTGAACAAAGGTCGGGTTGCTGGATTTGGAAATGCGCTTTACATCCAGTCAATAACCGTTACCCGAAACGTGGCATGATTTAAGCATCACTCCTGCCACGTGGCGGTTTCCTCAGTGGCATAAAACGACACCGTATTGTGAGATCGTTCTAACTAAAGAAACGCAGCAGATAGGTCGGTAAGTTGGCGCAATATCTTGAGAAAAGAAAAGAACCGGTTGCGGAGAAAATCCAGCGAAAATGGGTGCATCAACTTCGACGGAGCAGAAAGTTTCGATCGAACAACGAGAGGCGGAAGCCCTAGCAGCCTCCACTGGAGCTCTTTCTATGCTTCAGAAATCTTTCTCCAGCCTCGCCGATCCTGATTCTAATGCAATTCCCCACAACTCTCTTCAGGTACATTCAAAATGCCAACTCAACTCCGCGAATTCAATTTTCATTCTTTGCCTCTATAAACCAGAAATTGAAGCTTTTGCGTTTCAAATTTTCAGCAATGCTTCTCTTTAACTTACAAGAACCCAGTATGTGAAGCTCTTACAGTGCCTGATTCTTTTCCGATGCTGTTGGATCATCTTGGTTCGTCAATTTTGGACCTGATTTTCATCTCGGAGAAAGGCGGAGTGAGCTGGGTTGAGTTCGTTAGAGGCTATAATAAGTGCTGTGCAAGAATGTCTGCGTCTATGTCGCTTAATATATTGCTCAGAGTGTTTGCTATGACACTTCAAAAGGCGTGTTCGCCTTCGAACTTGGAATTTGAATCTGATGATGTTGAGTGTAAGATAACCGGGTCGCTTAAGCCCGTGGACGTGCTTATGCTTCTTTGGATGTGTTGGGCCATTTCCTGGAATTCTAGGACTTCGAAAATTTCCAAAGAGAAAACAGATTTACCTCTGCCGGATATTAATCAGATTGTTTTGTCGGCTATTGTTTCATGCGCTGACGTTGGCAGTGGCTTGAATGTGTGGGATTGCCAGCTTTCGGGTTTGGAAGTTGAACTTCCTGTGGGGAAGTTTCTTTCTTGGGTTGTGAGAACAGTGCCTAGTCTCTCAGATTGCTTTTCACAGTTTGTGTATGCAATTCTCAAAAACTGTGTTTCTCACAAGGTATCTAACATCTTTTCAATTGAACAAAATCATAAGCCTTCATGTTTCCATTTCTCTTATATTTCATTATCTTGTTGCCTTGCCAATACGATATCATGTATTTGAGCTTATGGGTTAAGGACTCGTTAAGACATAATGGGAAGTGCACTCAGTCAGAACCTTTTATGTATTGAGGCACTTGCTTATAGAACGAGTTGCTTTTTTAGATCACTCAAGTTATTTTTGTACTTGGAAATTTATATTACCAGAATGAAACGGATTTTGATGGCAGGATGGACTAGAATGCTCAACTTCATCAGTGGTAGAGAATTCTTCAACCATGGCATACAGTTCTCATCTTTTGTCTAGTGGAATGGCATGGGCGATTTCCCTTACATTGAGAGGCACAATAAGTGAAGAGATATCAAAAGTATGCTTTCCCAGCGAGACTGATGGAATAGACAAGAACCTACTTTACAGGTGTGTCATTTTATCCCCTTGATCTCGTGTTGTTTGAATTCTTTCCTGCGCAATCGCATTCCATGTCGCTCGTCTCTGTTCTGGTATTATTAAATTTTAGTACTTTCATGAATATTACCTCAATACCAATATTTATAAGCATAATATCCTGAAATATTTATTTTATCGGTCTTGGAGTCCAGTAAATGATGATAAGGTAGTTAGTTGACGTGTTATGTTTATGGAAATGTTTTACATTAATCTTTCCCACATACCTAGTTTTTCTTCCATTGCACCCTTACTGTTATTTGATGACAAATTCCAGTAGGATCGAGGCTTAAATTTTATCAGCAGTTCTTTATTATTTGTCTGATGTGTTTCATTGCATACTAATTTGCAGGTCATCTCTTCATGGTAGAGGGTTGAATAGATTCTGGTCTAACATTGAAGGTTACCAAGGGCCACTGCTTATGCTGTTTTCTGCAACTTCAGGAGATGCCAGTGATAGTAGAGCCAATGAGAGAAAATGGACTGTAGGTGCACTCACAAATCAGGGTTTTGAAAATAAGGATCTCTTTTATGGAAGTTCGGGAAATCTATATGCTATAAGTCCCGTCTTTCATGTGTATCCACCTACTGGTATGTAACGTAGAGGAAAAATGGAAGGAGAGATACTCTGAATATTTTCCTTTCTCAAAATTGCTGACTAGATGTCTCTGAAACTAACCGCATATGAACTATGATCATTGACAGGAAAGGAAAAGAACTTTGTGTACAGCCATCTGCATCCCACTGGTAGGGCATATGAGCCGAAACCAAAGCCTGTGGGGATAGGATTTGGCGGAAGTATGGGAAATGAAAGAATTTTTATTGATGAAGATTTTTCCAAAGTTACCATCCGCCACCATGCAGCTGACAAAACGTATCAACCTGGCTCCCTCTTTCCTGATCAGGTATAAAAGTTATGTTGCAAGCAGTTGAAAGTTATTAACTGCAATTTTTATAAAAGAAAAAGAAAAAGTATGGACTTAAGGGGTATGCTGGGTGAATTTAATGTAATAATAATTGAGCGTAAATTGGTGCAATCAGGGCTTCCTACCTGTTGAAGCTTTGATTTCAGAAGTTGAAGTTTGGGGGCTTGGTGGGAGAAGCGCCAAGGATGTGCAAGATTCATATAAGAAGAGGGAACAACTTTTCACTGATCAAAGACGAAAGGTAATCCATCTTACATCAGACAAGGGCAATATTTGCATCTTGAAGTTAATAATGTTTTTTTTTTTTTTTTTTTGGGTGTGCCCCTTGTCCTCATAGGTTGACTTGAAAACATTTGCAAATTGGGAGGATTCACCGGAGAAGATGATGATGGACATGGTCTCAGACCCTAATGCAGTTCGACGGGAAGATCGCTGAATAGACTGCATATGTTATGCTGTAATTTTGCATTTTGCTCCCTTGCTGGTCAACTTGTGATTGTATTTAGAAGACAGAAGTCAGTTGTGGGGAAATGTCGTCTATATCTCTGTATTTCTGAATGATGGGTGTAAATAAACTCATAAAGGATCATCTGACCGAGACTTGAAATAGGTTCATCTCAGTCATCAGTGGGGATATATGTTGATTTGCATGTAGGCGATGATGTAAAAGAGAGCTACATAAATTCGCCTTGATATACTTTTGGTTAATGCTGTTTTATCGAAAAACAAATTTACACTTTACATATGGTTGCTGCTTCTATCCCAGTTTATTCCATCCAGTCTATGGTTGTATGCATGAGCTGGATAGATTAAACAAGAAATTATTTTAGTTGATGTTATAACGACTGCAAGAACCAATCAGAGCTTCCACCACAATTCATACTCCGAGTATTCAACATCAACTAATCATTCATATCAAAAGCTTCTACAGTGAAGCAAAAACACAAGAAGACAGAGTTGTCTAAATTGCAACTCCAATACAAGAATTCTCTTTTTTCCCAAATGAAACACCGAATGGAAGTCTAATAGACCTGAATGAATATATAAGCAGCGCTCCCCAGTAATATGTTTGATCAAACGACAGCAGGTTACTGATTTTTCTCTTCTGCTTTCCTCGGCTGAAAGAAACGACACATTGGCAACGTGAGAAAAACAATATATAACAAATAAATCCTTCTATGCCTTAACCAGAAAGAGCAAGAGGATATGAACAAAACAATTTAAGATATCTTCAAAACATTCTATGGCCATAAATTTTGACAGACATGGGGATTTCGATTAGAACAAATCATTATGAATATATAGCAATAGCAACAATGGTGATTACACCAATAACAAATTGTATGACTGAAAGTTTCAACAGTGCCAGTAAGTACTGAAAAACAATAAAATCGGATCCAACCACCTTTTATTCATTGCATGTTAGATGCTCGACGAAATGCCGCTCTGACGATTCACCCCAAAAAGACCCAGCGAAGGCAAAAAAGATCACAGAAATGTAAAACCTTTACGCACCTTGGTACCAGGGGCGGGTTGGTGGAGCTCCTCTGCGGGGATGATGACGGGCCAGGGCTCGCCGGCGTCGCGGAACATCTGCTCGGTCTCGAGGCTCTGACCCTTTTCAAGGATCATGTTCCTGATGTCCTGGGCGGGAGTGGCGGTGGCGTCGAAGACCTCCTCGACGCCGTTGACGAAGGTGACGGTGATCTTGGGCGGCTCGTCGTCGGTTCGGCGCTTGACTTGGACGGCGCAGGAGGGGTTGGACTCCTTGGCCTTGCGGGCGTTGCACTGTGCCAAGAACTCCAGACACGACGCCGTACGCGGGTCCAAGGCATTAAACTCGATCCTCACTCTCGACAGGAACTTCAACATTGTGTTTGTTTTTTAGGCTGAAAGAGACGCTCTAACTCAGTACAGGTTTCGATACTGAGGTTGAAGACGAGTAAGGGTCTGATGCTCTAATTTTGAGGCTTAAAGCCTTGAGCAAGAGTCTGGGCTCAGTATTAGTAATTTGGGCGGACCATAAATAAATAGATCCGTTTGGCTCAATTTGGGGGTGCGCCCAACCCAAACAGATTATCCATCACGTGGTTGACTCGTCCGAGTCAAGCGAGGTCAGCCGAGACTCGAATCAAAGTATTGTTCAACAACATATCATAAAAAATAGAATTCGTTTGTGGTGCTCATGTATATGGAAAATGATTGCTTATCACATTGTGTTATTATCTTTATTAAAGAGGTGGAGTCCATCAATACAGTGGAACCCACCTTTATTAGAGAATGTGATATAAAATTAAATTAAACCTAGCATTTTCCAGTATAAAAATACCTTTATTAGAGAGGTGGAGTCCACCAATACAATGGAACCTGTATTAGAGAATGCGATATAAAATCGTATTAAACCTAGCATTTTCCGGTATAAAAATATGGTAAAGTTACGTATATAGACTTATAGAGAAAGTGGGCCTAAAAAAGGAGAGAAAAATATAAATAGTATTATAAAACGAAATCAAAAGGCAGGCGTAAAAATATAACCATTTCGATATAGGAACGCAATATGAAGAAAGAAGTTGCCGCAATTGATTATGACATGATGTAGGCTTCCACTCAGAAGAAACTCTTTATGCTCCAAGATCAGGATGAGTAAATATAACAACAAAATTAAACAAATTTTGACAAAACCAAGCTCAGAGAGAATTTTGAGCCACACAGAAAGGGCTCTCCATTTGAAAAATGTACATACAGGAAGGAGCTACGTTAACTGCTAATCTCCCTATCCATTTTCATTCTCTTTGTACTGTGCACCTCCGGTGCACTACTACTACCCCGAGGCTGGAACGACGCATCATGCTGGTATGCACAATTTGCTCCATGGCGGCATCCCCTCGAACTATTGAAGTATATGCATGGCTTCATTATCTTAGGTTTTGAATCTCTTGATTTGTAGCCATTATTGGATTCCTGGTTTATAGCTGAATGGTCGCTATGACGGTTACCAAATGGTGGAAAGCTGTCATGCCTGTCTCCTCCATGTTGCTGAATCAAGCTTTTATAATAGTTGATGTCCTTTGCTGGTGGAGGAACTGAAATTGCTGCAAGGGGAGGTGGTCGTGCATCAGGAAAATGTCCCATTCCAGCAACATTTGGTTGAGGGTAGAAATGTCCGCTTGATAGAGCAGTAGATGAAGGTGTGCTGCTGCTTTCTGTTCGGTTAATGTGAACAGGAGGTGGATCTGCTATGGACATTTGAGGTGGCCTTGTCATTGGCTGTGGATCTTTAACCAATTTCTCAATCATTTTTGGGTTGCTCAGAATCTTAATGAGCAATTCATGGTCAATCATATTTCCATGCTCATTGCTATTCACAATTGCACCAAAGGCGGCAGAGGCAGCAGCTACAACATCCGGTTCTACACCAACAGGAATTCCAGCTACTGGCTTATTTGAAGTAGGGTGGCTTCTATTGCTAGGTACAATGCTCTGAGATGGAGCTGCAATTCCCTGAACCGATAGAAAGGACTGTGAGCTTGTGTGAATGTTAAACGGTGCCATGGATGCAGATGATGTGTCGCCTCCTACATCTTCATCTTCAATGGAAGTGATAGGTATCACAGGAGGTTGCACGTCATTATGACCAGAGTCTTCACCATCTGCCAAAACAGAGGGGCTGTATGGAGAAAAAAGTAAAATTGTTCAGTTCAGGAGTGGGTGAAACCCACGAGCAAAGTTGTAGAAAGCAAAGTAAGTGTCGAACTTTAGAGGAATGGCAGATGGGCGTGGATAAACTGCTTCCAGTACTCTTATCTCTCTCTGATTTTGAATCTCCACCTCTTTGCTTTCTTCCCCACAAACCACTTGCCAAGTGAAGTTCAGCACAACCTGTGAAAATTTAGTATTATTGAAAACAAAATTTCAAACTGAATCTTCAATGCCATAAGTTCTGCCCAATGTAAATTAGTCAAGATTAAAATCTAAACCAATAGATTAATTTACCCTAGGAGGGCATCTCCATTTGATTAAGGGAATTTGAGACACGTTAATATGCAGCTGATTTGCCGAATACGCTCCCTCAAATCCAGGGGGCAGAATGTCATCCGAGCCTGTGCCAGATGAATGTGACAACCACGATGCCTTTGCTTGGAGGTGATCCTGAGCACTCAACCCAACTTGTGAAGGAGATTCCTCCAACAGAAACAGCTTAACCTGTTTAACAGAGAAGCATCAGTACAATAACCATTTACGCTGATAGTGACATATCATCATACTTGATCATCATTTTTCACAAACTCCTTCTGAATACTGAGCATATATACACAGGGAAACTTCAGAAATCTTTTGCCTAATGTCTCATTTATTTTAAAGTTATAATAGCACTAAAATCTTAAATATCAGAGAAAATCGACTAATAACATGAGTGCAGATCAGTGTATTCCTTACTCCCATTCCCATCTTATATATTTCAACAAACACAGATTTAGGATGGAAAATTTTGCAAAACTAATATTAGGCCAATGATATACGCACTCCATTTCAGATTTAGGAAACAAGAGAAGGCCAACAAATTTTGACGCACTCTAATATAAGAAAGTTCACCAAACAATCAAACAACAACTTAGCAGTAAAGAAGTGGAAGACACATTGCCATAAGCCCCTCTGTTGAACAGGTCAAAGTAACCATCTAGATAGTTTCAAATAGAAATTGTTAATGCTGTGTTAATGAGACAGGGATCCTCTCTGAATGTAGTTTGATGGTTCGTGAGTGATGTTTGACTAAATCATTTACTTGAAGGTTGAACCCCCAACCCCAATTTCCCAAAAAGACAAAAAGGAAAAAAGGGAAAAGAGAGCAACAAGCAATCTTTTCGTCCCAATCTAAAGACAATTGGTTTAGATCCCCATCCTTTCTAAGGAAGACAGTTCATTGCATCTTGATTTCTCTCATGACATTTAGTCTCTCTGAACAGAAACCAAAAACAAAAATGTGCACGCCCAGTTCCTTGCCAACATAATGCAGATCTTCCATGGCCAAGCATAGGGCTCACACCAGACTACTTTTGAAAACCTCCCCTCCATG